AAGAGACAGCCCTTACTCCCCTCCCCCTAATTAAAGCATTTACTCACAGGGAAAAACAAACACCCCTAAAAAAGGATGGAAACACTGAAGGGGAGTAGCTTGGCTAGTTATAGCACAGTGCTTAACAAGGTTCAAGACAGAACCAGATCAGAGTTGGCCAAAAGATGCCCACAATACATGCCTGACCAGTAATTTCTTCTAACACATTCTATCAAACTCAGTCCACTTTTGGTTCATTGCAATGACTAAAGTATTTCATATATACACATAAACACAAGACTCCAGCTTTAGTTTGTTTTTGCAAAGCGTTTTTACCTTTTCCATTCATTTTGTTCTGCAGCAACTGCAAGAGGTAGGCATAAAGCATTTAAGAGCTTCTTTCCCATGGTCCTGTTACTAGCTCAATTTAGTGGAATAAAACAAATCAGCTGTACTTCTGAGATTTTGCTAGGTACAGCCTTGTACAATCCATCTGGAAAACAGCTTATGTGAATCCTGGATTTGCTAGGCTAGCACACCATGGAGTAAGAAGCTGTTCCTATTCAGGATACTTCTTTCTTTTTTAATGAAGTTTACTGCAGAGCATTCCTGTAAGAAAGTATGTCAGGAGCAATTCTCTCCATTTCTAGTTGTACATAGGAACAAGGTACCATTTGGCCAAGACTACAGATGTATTTACACAGATGCAAGTGCCATGCAAAAATAAATTAAAAGAACAGATACTAAAACATACAAGTAGTAAAACTACTGAAGGTAGATTTTCTTAAAAGTATTTATATAAACAATTTATAATACTTTTCTCCCCCCCTTCTCTTTTTGACATTCACAGTTACAAAGCTGTGGCTATACATCTAGAATTTCTTCTGCAGTGCCTCCACAACGTAATCTGTAGCGTCCTGTCCTCCAGCTAATAGTGGGGTCCCACAAAGCAGATAGGAAGATATAAATTGTCATGGATTCTCTGATGAACCAAGCTACTGCATAATCAAGTTTTGAAAAACACAGAGCACCACCCTAGGAATATAAAAAACAAGTATTTAAACATACTGATTATTCAAAATTAATTTTAAAGTTATTTAAAACATGTGTCACATACATATTTTCTAAAGCTTATTATACATACTTAAATATCAATAGTGTATTTTGTATAAGCCAAGAACATTTTACTGTTCAAGATATTGCCTATGTTAAACAAAACTTGCTTGGCAAAATGACCCAGAAGGTTTGAAAAGAGACTTGTATGTAGTGCAAAAGGCAAGAAAAAGCATGACAATTTCACTTTACACTTTTTGAAGTTTTGTAAAACTGTTCACTTGTGTTTTCACCACAGACCTCAGAACAGCAGCACCTACACAGAACACTCCTGCACATTACCAGTGGAGAGAAATTCAGATAAATAAGCCTTTGGCCTACTGCACAGGAAAAGTGTGAAAAAACCCCAACTTATAGACTCTCTATTTTTTGATTCTTTGAGAATTTCCAGATGCATGGCAGAGCTGAAAGCTGAAGAGGCTTCAGAAGAGGAAGAGCAGGCACAAAGCTCTTTTACATGCTGTGTATGGTGAGAAGAGTAATCAGAAAGGTGATTGTTAAAACTGACCTTCTGGAGTACTAACTTTATTTCCAATTTGTTAAAATTACCAAAAGAACATTTTTCCAGTATGAAGAGAACTATATGATAAGTTTAAATACACAAGTAATTATGGATGAGATTTGGATGGAATATGATCCCAGCAGAAACTAGTCCAAATACTTCCTACAGCAGTAGAAGAAAAAATGTTCTGATTTGTGATATCTTTCTATATTGTAAGTTTTTAAATGAGGCATCACTTGTAGTGATGGGAAGATTTTATATTTAGAGGTAGGCTACTACTGTCCTGTAAGTCTATTATTACTAAAATAAAGAAAAAAAGTGTAAAGAGTATATATACATACACCTCAATAAATACAAAACAGTGACAACTAAGATAACAAAAAACCTATAAAACACCATAAAACTACTGTTCTTATACTGTTAAAAAAGCTTCCAATTTCTGTATATTCCTAGGTAGAGCAGACTGAAAATGAGAAGATTAAGGGGACTGATATGCAAACTTCTGGAGCCTAGGCAGGCATATATAGACAATAAAATTACAACCAAGCACACTTACTCGTTTTAGTGCTATTATAACTGAAGCTGGAAGACTGATAAGTAACAAGATTTGACCTGTTATTTCCTTGATATCAAGAGAATTATTTTATTGTTACAATTAGGCTTAGCTTTTTGCTGACGCAGATGGCATCACTAACTTTAATAACCTCCAGAGAAAAAATGAAGCTACATACCTGAACACCTTTGAGTTGAATGTAGTCAAATATAAACCACGCCAAGCAGTGACACATGAAAAATACCATTATATCCCATCTAAACACGTGGTGAGCTGCCCATCCAATAACTAGACTGGCAACAAAGCACTCTGAGATTGGCTCACAAATTATTGTGGCAGGTAACATATTAATTCGCAGTTTGGCCCACCTAGAAAAGACAAACAAATCAGTTCTGACTATGCATTATTGTATGTCCTCCTCCACCTCAAAGGATGAGCCATCATGGTTTCTTTCTGACTATGTTAGTTTAATCACATTTAATTTACACCTGCAAATAAAATATTTTTAAGAATTCTATCTTTCAAAGATACTGCACATAGCATTTCAAAGATACTAAGGGATTTTTTTAGGTTTTTTAGGTTTGGGTTCGTTTTTTTTTTTTTTGATACTTGTATCAGTCATTCTTCTGTGGAAAGTCAGTGCTTCTCTCCCAACACTAAAGAGAAGCACATATCAAACTCTGCATTGGAGCTTCAGCATTCTGGACATTAGATCAAATTAGCTTAGAAAACGTATTCTCTCTCATCATCATGTTATCCACATCAGAAGCAGGTGACTAGGGTGTGTGGGAGAGGAAGTAGAGACTAAATTTTACCTGATCATTCTGGACTGAAACTGAGAAATAGAATATGAACCAGAGTTTTGCATTGCAACCTGTGTGGCCATTGCAAGTTTCCAGCCCCTGAAAAATGAATTTTAAAATGAGTTTATTATTATAAAAAAATAACATGCAAATAAGAAATTAAAAAAACAATTAGAGAACAAACACCCAGGAACTTCATTAGGCTTGAAAGTTTTTTGGCATATGTGGTATATTTTTACAATGGGTATAAACAAAGGAGTTAAGTGTATTTTATCAAGTCTCTTCATTGGAAAATAGCAAATACCACTTGAATAATACTTGGAAACCAAGGTTTCACAAACTTTTTTCGAAAGGAATTGACAATGACATAGCTTGTTTCTAGAAGACTACACTGATAGGACAAGCACATGTCATAAGCATGTTTGCTATATACATGTGAAGCTGACTTGAACACCTATACTTATAGTATGCACCATATCTTAAAAAAAAGATTTAAACTGCGCTTAAAAGAATAAGCTTACTTCAGAGTCATCTTACCGGTCAGCTATAGCTTTGGCCATAAAGTAATCTTCAGCAATATACTGTGCAAAAGCTATCAGTCCTCCAGCTTGGTCCAAGACATCCTTCCTCATCAAGCAGGACATTCCTGTTACACACTTAAAGCCCGTTAAATTGGCTGAAATATATGACCTTGGATGGGAAGTTCCAAAATAAACCTGCCAAAACAAGGTAAGGTTTTTCAACTCTGTATGTGTTTTATTCAAGTACTACCCACTGACAGCTTTTTCCTCAAAAAAGTTTGGAGAAGGAAAAATGTACTAGACATGGTCAATTATAGGCCAAGTCCAAATATGCTGTGTTTGGAAAGATCTTTACTGCTAATTTGAGAAATCTAGTCTACCACCAAATCTTAGAAATCTAGTTGTGATACTGACTGTGTTTTTACAAATCTGTAAGTGGGTTTTAAATATATGTATTAAATTACCATATTTCATTTCTAATTTATTGAGGTTGTTCTCAACAAATACATATATTAAAAATCCAGTTAGTAACTTACTAATCAGTAGGATTAATATATTATTTGGTGATAGCTGACATACATGCTTTCTCCTTCCTCTTAATAAAGATTAACTGCATTACTCCATACATGGTCTTAGAAACTTACAATATGGTTGTACAGAAGCAGGGAAATTGTTTACTTAATGTACTTGCAAAAAAGAAAAAGCGAAGAAAAAAATTCAGATTGAGCAAGTCTTTTTGTAAGATTTAATAACTTAAAACTAGGAGTGTCCTATAAAGAGACAATGCGAATGAGTACAACTGCTTGTCACTACTATTCTTCCTACAGATGGCCTTCACACTGGTCTTACGGACACAAACTCATTCAAGAACAGGCATGCTCATCTTGTAGTATACTGGATCTGGTAGCAAAAAACACTCTTCCAGGAACATAGAAGCAGGAGTTGTAATTCTTGCTACATTAGCACATAGCAGTACTACAAGCTTTGTGCTGTAGCTCCTTGCTCTTCTCTTGTAGGAGAAAGTTCAGACTTTGTCACAAAAATTACACAAGCTGCCCTCTCTCCATGAGTACTGTATTTCACTGCACTCATCTCACATTTCTGCCTTCAACACACATCAGTTAGACTTGGGGCCAAAACAGCTTATGACAGCTTCAAATATAGTTGATTAAATTACATGTCTTGAGACACAAGAAACAAACAAGAAAACTCAACCCTTTTACTCTACAAAAGAGAACTTACTGAGAAAGAAGAGGGGAGAATAGGACAGAATGAGTGATATGGAGATGATGGACAGGAATCTACTGTTCACTTTCTCTTCCAAAACAAGTATGACATGAAATAGCACTACAGAAGAACGAGAGTTGGTGTGAACAACGTGGTTGTTCCTGTAACAGTAGATCTATGGAACTTCCTGTTACAGACAGTTACTGATGTTCAAAAATCTCTATGGACTCAAAGAAAGAATTGAAATGTTCCTGTAAGAAATCTGTTCTTACTAAAATACTAATATATTGAGGATTAGTAAATATGCAAGTCTACTTCCTGCTCAGGAGGTTTCTCATCTGAAAATTGCAGAAAGTTGAGACAGTATTACAGGAAAATGGAATATAAGCCTCGCTTGTGTTCTGCTCTCCTCAAAGGCTGCGGTTATAATCCCTGCTGGAAATAAGATACTGTGTGAGCTGCACTTTGTTTGCTCTAACTTATCATGGCCATTTCTGTGTGCCTTTTCAGTCATCAAAATGGATTAATGGCCCTTTCTGACTATAAAGAGTTCTTCAGTTTTAGTAATTCTTTTAACCATATATATTATATTTATCCTGTAATCTTTATTGTTTGTATTCTAAACTTAAATATTGAATCAATGTTCAGAGCACCACAGTACAATTTTGGAGCATTCAAAAGTTATCCTAGATAGTTTGAAGTGTGACTGCAGCTGAAAACAAACATTTCTTCATTCAAAATGTGCAAGAGGCTTCATACAACTTTTAGTCAGCAAGGACTTGTAAAAAAAAAAAAAAAAACAACAACCAAAAACACCAACACTGCACTCACCTGTTCAAGGGTAGCAGCAAAACCCTGTCTGTCTGCAACATAAGGAAGCCCATGGACCAAGCCTACTTTTTCAGTCATTTGATTGGCCATATCCGTCAGTGTGTCTGGTGTTACTAAGTGACAAATGAAAAAAGACAGTTAATTAAGCAGTTCTGTCATGAGCAAACTACTTTACAGAGACACTAATTATCATTCTATTACCAATATCAAGAGCATATATACTTTGATGTACAGTATTCTGGAAGAACAGTTTCAGAAAAAATAACAACAGAGATCAACATCATTATTATGATCAACAACACATACAATGTAAATACATGAACAGTATATTTTTGAAGGGATTTTCACCTTTAATTAGAGATTAAACATTTTTATACCATGAACATATTTTTTCCAGTTTTTAACTTTCATTTCTAATTGTATTCTCAGTAAAAATAACCTCCAGCAACTGCTGGTCTACAGGGAATAAGAGCAATATAACAGTCAGCACATTACAGCACACACCTACCTCTGATTCCACTGTCACAAATCCATATGAGATCATATTTGGCAACTTCATAGCCAGGCATTAGATTGTTAATTTTGGGGTTGATGCCAACCTTCTTGCCACCTAAAAAAATACATAATCATACACAATGTATGAGGTTTTTTTAGAATTCAGACTCAATACCCAAAATATTTAGATATACTAGCTGAAGAACAGTAAAAATTTAACCATAAAAGTCCACTTCTATAAAAAGGATTTCAATTTTACATATTCCTTCACTTCTATATTTTAGATCTTACTACAACTATGTAGAGAATTAAAAAGGAAAAAATATTCTAATGCTTCCTCAAAATGGCAGGGTAACAATGTTAATGTAAGTAAAAGGGCAGTAAAACTACGAAGTTTATTACTACAGTCTATAAAGTAAATATTCTCTGCCTCTTTCTTAAAACTATGGTCTATGACCATTATGGTCTACAATAATTTTGAAAGAAAAATTAAAAAGGAACAGAATAAAGTGAGAAACACTTTTGTTTCCAGTTGTCAGACACGGTCCAGTTTTTTTCATGGCAGAGAAAAATGACACTGTACTACCTAGTTCTAATATCCTTTTCCTCCTCTAATGCAAATGTAAAGTGAAGAAAGAGACCTACATTATAAACTGATGAAAAAGGCTTACTGCAGGACCTCAAGATCAAATACAGCCACAACTCCAAGTCACTTCCTGCCCATTTAGTTCAGCACAAGGACAGGATTTAAACTACTGTTTCAGATTTAGAAGGAAAAAGTTGCTGGGGTTGCATAAATCGTTCTTTCTAGAGTTTTTCTGGACTGATGTCACAGATTGTGACTACAAACTTATTTCACCCCAAACTGATGATTAATCTACAGAAGCAACATGGGCTGAACAAAATGCCCATTTATTTTAGAATACTGTAAAAGGAGCTGAAGACCTAAAAACATTTTTCAAGTAAGTTCCACCCTCAAGTTGCACTGCTTACCTATGAACAGTCTAGCATCAACATTCGGGTATTTGCCAAGGAGCTTTTTGCACACATCAATAGCTGGATCATCATGATCTTGTACACAGAGTAGTACTTCATACTAGTAAAAAACAAAGATGTACACACACACGTAAGATCAATACAGTCCAGGGAATAAAGCTTGATAGTGTACCAAACTGGAAAAAAAGACAACTGTTACAGAATTAAAAATAAAACAAAAGGGGTTGTTTTACAGCTAAATAAGACTATTTACTGATACACAACCAAGTACTTGTGAAAAAAGAACCTGTTCCAAACAAACACTTGTACTGAGGAACCTTAGTGCTCCTGTTATCAGAAGAGTTTCTGTGAGGCATGAAGCAAGATGTCCTGGTATACAGGGTAAAATTTTTATTTTCACTTCCATTCTTGTTTACATATGAATCTTAAATCCAGTCTCATACGCAAGGAAATTACAGCACAAAATACTGCAGGAATGATGTTATGATATGCTTGACTGCATACCTCTGAACTACACTTTTTTTTCCTTTACTTTCTAGATGCATATGCAAAACAGAGTTGGAAGACAAGCCAGAGACCAGTATACATACATTTAATTGTATAATGAAGTTAAGCTCAGGAACATGTATATGCATATATAATGTGTATGTATTTTCCTCATTAATAATGTTTAAAAATCAACCAGAGGTAAGGGAAAACTCCAGCTGTTTCAGCAATCAAGCTACATGCTTGTTACACATGAGCTAGAGAGAGCATTTTAAGAATCACTCAACATTGAGGCAGCTTTGAAAGATTTGATGAAGTTATTTCTGTTTCTGCATTAACAGTAAGTTCCTTGAATACTCCTTACTTGATATAACATTCCTCTTTCTGTTAAAATTACTGAACTATTACAAGTTATTAGAGCTCTAATCCAAAGAATAAAATTCAGAAAATGCAAGTTTCTGATCAGGATACCTAGAAGCCATTTTCACAGTCCAAGATTAAAAATTCAAATCTCATTAAAAACAATTTTCTTGGATCTCATTTGATATAGCAGTAGTAAATAAGAGTCCCAACTAGTGTGAGAGTTCTTATTCTCCCTTATACTCTCCTATCACATCACTGAACTTTATTTTCAGTAAGCTACTTAAGCAAAAAGTAATCTGAAGTTTGAAAGCTGCCTGTGGGCTCAATGGTGACAACCTCTGACGTTCTTGTTCAGTAATAACTATTTCACCAGCAGAAAACATTAAGTGAAATACATTCTTTCAAGTAAAAACGGTATTGTTAAGCACAAAAACCCCAACAACTCTTATAGAATATTGTGGAAACTTAAAATCATTAACCACTAAATGGGAGTTGTTAAGACTTGGTCTGGCACTACGGGCTATCAGACAAACACACCTCTCCCTCCCAGAAAGAAATTTAAAGCCAGTTTGCCTAAAGTGCAAGTACTATTTTGATTCCTATCACTTTATCAACATGGAAAATGGAATTTAAAGGGTAAAAAGACCTGCCTCATTAAGCACACGGGTCATTTCACCCCAACCCTGACAGCATGAACACCACAGAAATAACCAAACTAAAGAAACTCGTTCTTTATTGTTCATCCAACTAGACATGTAAAAGAACACCTATTTTTACTAGTAATTAAATCACTGATCTTCTATCCACAGTTGCAATGACACTTCTATATCCATATTCTCCAAGAAATTCAACCAGAAATAATAAAAAATCCCTTTGAAATTCCAGTCTGAAACCCGAAAAATTCACAGTAAATGGTCTTTGTATGCAGTAACAAAGTAAAGAACGTCAACGTATATGACTAAAGGAGAAAAAATACAGATACTTATAAACATTACAATTAGGTTCATTTGGGCATAACATGAGCAAAGATTTCTGCCAAAATTACAGTATGCACAGTAAGTAAGAACTGTTCACTGATAAAAATATTATATGTAAGACCTGCAGTTTAGAAGCTGTATAACTGGCTTCTATGCAAGACACATGAGGTATCACAGAACTGTACACATCACAAATTTTGAATTATTTTAATTTAAAAATTATTTTACACATGGGGTATCACAGAAGAGTATCAGAGAATCAGTATCAATGCAGGCTGAACTTGGCTTCACTGGAACAAGTTTATTATTATTCTTTCCTAATAATTTTTCCTAGGACAGCTGAACTTTGAATACTAGGCAATACTGTTGCTCTGGTTTTTGTGGTGTAATGTCAATCTCTTAAATGAAATATTTCTGTAGTTATTGTACAGAAGCGTTTTCAAACAGTTTGGGGAATCTTGCTTGTACTGTATAATCTATGTCCCAGAAAACTGAAGCATTCATACCTCCGTCTTCATTCTCCTTGGGAAAAGTATGATTGTCACTATCGTTATCCAAAAATCAGATTTCTGTGGAGTAGCAATATTTTAAGATTGCTACCCATATGTATCAGTTATCAGAAGGCTCAAGACTATCTCTCATAAAACAAGATTCAGCATAAATTTTTCTGAATTCTCAAATGAATTATATTTGTAGTTAAATGTTTCAGCTGCATAATGCTTTGATGCTTATAGTCATAAAACAGCTAAAGATATTGCTGCAGCTTCTCTGCACCATTTGCAATATTGGGACACACAGCACGCCTCAAGTATGCTTTAAACTTATCTTGGCCACATTTAATCTTCATTGCACTTTTGTTGAATCAAAAAGACCTAAACATGAATGCCTGAAGCTTTTCAGAAGGCCTCAAGCTTCATTACAGAAAAACTATCCAACTTATTCCAAGTTCCAAATAGTGAAGTTTTTTTTTGTTTTATCCTGCCTACTTACTCCTAAGTTTAAAGCTCTCAGAATACATAAAGGAAGCTCACTGTATAGCTTACACATACCTCTGACCTTTTACAATTGAAGCAGCAGAGTCAGAAGCAGTTTTGAGAATTGAGAAAAGAGTTTTTATTAAAAGTTACAAGTTTTAGAATTCAGGAAATATACAGTAGAAAATGTAGTCTTTCCACCCACAGGAGCATGCATCAAGTAGCAAGTGATGCAGCAAGCATTTGCAGATTTCTTCTTTAAATTGTAAACTCCTTAGAGAAAGGACAGCATCTGACACATTTATCACTTATATTACAAAGTCAAACAGTGTTCAACAGCAAATGTAAGCTTTTTTTAACTAGTTGTTTCCCAGCACCTACAAGTGGCTGGGAGACTATCCTACCTTCCAACAACTGGTGAGGTGCACCACCCTCACTGTAAATTCTTCATTAGCCATGAGCAAGAATCAAAGTTTCAGGTTATCAGTTGTGCTTTATTTTAAAGGGCATGTTACAGAAAAGTAGTAACTGGGGAGGGAGTCTGGCCTCTCAAATGATCTTTTATAGACTGAAGAGTTTTATACTGCTATGAATACCACAATACAGGAATAATGGTTAAACAAATCTTACTGAGATGTAGATTATGTTTTGGCCCCAAGCACTGATCATGTTCCTTTATAGACAGCTTTTCAGAAAGGAGTAAGTTTTGTTTGCAATATGTGAAATAATGCATTTGCTGTGGAAGGAGGAACAATCCTATATATATCCAAGTTGCATAGTTCTAGCTCAAGATCCTGATAGACTTTTGGAAGAAAGGGAGGAATTAGAAAAAACTCCAAATGGTATACATACTTTTGGGTAATCCAGTTCAAAGAAGGTTTCTAAGTTGTTGATCAGGTTAGGATCCACACCTTTTAGTGGCTTTAAAAGTGAAACACCAGGAAGCTTGCTGTACGGCTGTTTGTCTGTGGCTTTCTTATTGAGGTGGAGGCGTCTGTAAGGAGAAATAGTGTGTTTTCTTTATGTGGTGGCACGCTAGAGAAGTCCATTCAAAATACAGCCAGAACTAAGAAACCTTGGTAGTTAAAATTGCTGCCAAAAAATAGTTTTGGTTGTAGAAACAAGTTATTTTTATATCTCACAGTTGATGCGTCAGAGACAATACCTAAAAAAACCCTTAGCATTGTGTAAGTAAATTCAACCTGATTCAACTTACTAGACATTTCAAATTAATGCATTTTCCACTATACATTTTGAAAAAGTATGACTTTTTTCAAACTGCACAGGAGACAATATTTTTCTGCATTCCTCCATAGCACTAAAACTCAAAGTATTGTAAAGGATAATCAGAACAAACAATTTAATGTCAACAAGGAAAGGTCATGTGCTTTTTCCTGCATTAAGTTATGCAAAACTTTCAGTAAGCTGAAAGCACAGGGGATTCTGTTGATCCTACTGATCAATTTGTTAACAAACACCTCCAAGAAAAGGATAGTATCAGTCAACTGTAGTATAAAAAATCCTAGAAACTGGAAATCAGGCTGGGTCAGAAGCATAGATAAAACACGAACACAATTCCAAACAATCACTAGTATTTCAGCAATAAATATACCAAGTAAATTAGTGATCATGTCAACTCGCTAACATGAATGTTTAATCCTACACACTCCTATGTGAATGAACACAAAATTAAATTCTGAAAGCTTGATGGGCCAGTATATAAGCAAATTTGCATCAATATATGTAATTTAAGTTACTGGAGAAAAAGCATTTGCTGAAACTTAGAATTTGCAAATTAGTGCATATACTGCATACTGTAGTTCTCTAACATGAATAGTAGTCAGATTGAAAGAATATTTTATTGCAACATGTACCTAATGGTATAAATTCTTAACTTGAAAGCTTTCACACTTTAAAATTTACAAGATGCTGCTTCAAAAAACCCCAAACAGAAATAGGATTGCTTCATCTTAGTTAAATGGTTAAAAGAAGTCAAGTTCCTAAGAAGCATGCTGCTGATGAAGTGAAATTACTAAAACACAAAGAAGCTCCACTAAGAGAAGATATTACAGTAATTCTCTGTTTTTTCCTGAAATGGCATAGTGATATCACATTTGTTACCTCATCAGCACCCCTGCCTAGCATGCTCCTTTCAGGCAGGTTTGCAGCCTGGATACCAGGCACATAATGCCATTACAGAGAATAAAACAATAGGCTCACTAAAAATACAATTACAAAACAGATTATGTCCTTGTACTGCTATTAAATCCAATCTGGGTACTGCAGAGGTAAACTGAAATAGACTTGCTGAGCAATTAACAGCCAAGGGACAGTCAGATCAAAGTAAGAAAAGCAATAGTTCAGACAGCTACCACAGAGAGAGAAAGATTTTCTTACCAATTTTCACAAATATAACAGCCATCAAGGTCTTTAGTGCCAATAAGAAGCGAGACTCTCAAGAATGCAACTCTGACCAGGAGGAACAAGAGGTAGACAATGGAAGGGGGAGGGTAGTACTCCATTTAAAACAAACTATAGCAATGCACAGAGGCAAAAGCCTTGATGAACAGGAAATAAGAGAACAAAGTAGCAGAGTAAATGGAAGGAGGAGAGAAAGGATGGAGAGAGACTTGAGGCAGGACTGTGATGAAGAATAAGCACGAAGTAATAAAACTGCAGAAGCTTGCAAGGCAACATATTGCACATGATGCTGACACCTAGGATTATGCAGGCGATTAAATGACATAAGGAAAAACCTACACATGGTGTGAGAGAAACTTTGGAAGACACGCAAATGAGACATGCAGTATTATCAGGATCTATTCAGCTGTGAAACACTACACACTGAGACTTTTGACAGGGTATGGCTCAGTATGGTAAGATTTTCTCTAACATGCCATCTTAAAAACAAGATTCCTGTTCCGGTTCATGTTCTATTCATAATACTTCACAAAAGTAGTAGCCTGCCATCCTGAAAGCACTGTGGTATTGTGACACTAAAGGTAAAGCAATTTCTATATCAGTAATTGCAATGCTCAGACTCTGTGGAACAACAGTAAACCACATCATTTTACACTGAGAAGAACTATTTGTGAAATGGCACATCTGGAAGAAAAACCAAAGTTACAATTGAAAGCTACCTTCACCAGAGACATGGACCAATAATTATAAAAAACAAGTTTCAGTAGTGAAATTAAGGCTAATGGAAGTCATGGAAGTCAAAATTTAAACACTAGTTCTAAATAAAGGTGTATGTTAAAGAACATGCACCAAATTAGAGGTCAGATGAAGCAGTAAGTCAGTATTTTTAAACACTAACTTGTGGTTATGGTAGTTCAGTGCTCTCAGGTGGTGTGATCAGCTATCTTCATTATCACAAAGCATATATGATACACAGTTTGAAATCATAAAGGAAAGGAATAATTTCAACAAGTTTGTATCACATATGGAATATTACATATTTTGCACTGAAGTTAGCCCAAAGAATTCAAAAACACTTAACTATACAGATGCACTTGTTTGATGCATTTTTTTCTACCTCTGCCTAATGCAGTAAACTGTTGAAAAACACTACACCAAGGAATGTATACCACCACCAAGGAATGTATAGTATATAAAACATGTTAGCAGAGCACTATTTAAAGGCACTTTTAAAACCTGTATGTGAGAGACTAATAGCAAAGTTATCTACATGCACTTTTGCACCTACATACATTAAATAGATAATCCTGAAATCCCAAAGTAGTGAAACCAAAATTCCTTCGGTAATTAGTCAGGTGCTGGTGTACATAGGTGGGGAAAGAAAAAAGCAGCAGGATGCATAATGGTGTCAGGAGCTATAGCTCAACTATATCATGTGAGAGGTTATCTGCAAAACTTTACTCAAACTTAGTTCCTTAACACAATCATAATTAACCCAAAGAAGTAATTGTGTAACCTAGACTTCTCTCAGAGGAAAAAAAGTATTTCCTAAAACAAAACCCAGGCTACTGAGTTACTACTGCCCAGTATACTACATGATGGATTCTTGCTAACCTGTATCAAATTAAGTCACAAAACTTTTCTTTAAAGGCCAAGACTACATTTCCCTCTTTCCGCTTCATTAAGGGCAAGACAGTATTCTAGCAAAACCAAAAAGCTTCTTACAGTAGACATATTGCTGAGTCTCTCAGCTGAGATAGGAACACATAACTTTTAAAAGCATCTGAAAAAACTTAAGTGCTATTTATTCTCTCACTTCAACCCTTCCTCAGCAGCTACTGAAAGAATTATCCTATTAGGGTGACATAAGTAATTCTAGCTCAGAAATTTGTAACAGATACTTAAAATCTGCTGGTAAAACCACAACACAAGATGCAGGAAGCACTGAAGACATCCCTTGAAGGCTATGGTTCCACAGGCTATTGAGATAAACTAGCAGATCATTACTTATGAAAACCGTTTTCCTGCTTCTACTTCTGAATTTACACACTTCCCCCTTCCCCAGTCCATTTTCATGTTGGCAAGCTGGACTGTCTCACATGGGTGCTGTGAAGTGCTGTTCTGCTATGCAGTAACAGACAAGATCTCAGCTTAAACAGGAGAAATCAAATTTAAGATTATCCTGCTTCTTTTGGTAACAGAATAGTAGAAAGGATGAGTTTTCTCTATCTTCCTTACTTTTTATACATATCCTGTGTTAAAACATTTCCAAAAGTAGGTACCTTTATCCACAAAAGAAAAAATGAAATTTGCTATGGGTATACTACACTGGTCAGTGCATTAAATACAACTGAAAGAAAGACTGGAGGAGTTCAAAAAGTATAGCAGTCAACCCCTGAATTCATGAAAGGGGTAACAACACCCCTGCTTCAAAGATTAGTATTAGCCCACTTAAAATTCTACCACATTAATGTAACAGTATAAAGACAACTCCACATAAGGCAGCATAGGTAACTACTAAGTTTCAGTATCTCACAGCAGTAACTTTATACAGTTATCTGACCATTTTACAATATATTAATATTAAATAATATAAAAAGTACACTTTTTACATAGAAGATACTTTTATATATATAAAAAAATATATATGCATAATGGACTTGGGACAACTGGTAAGGAATCAGGAGCACAAATAGTGTTTTCCTCTATCTTTGTGTCCTGGGTACAGAAATCAAGAAATGAGAGAGTTTGATTCTTGTAGAAGTAAGGAGGGTGGTTAGCAGAACTGCTACCTTGGGACTTCCAGAGGGCAGAATTCAGCCTGTTTAGGAACCTGGTTGACAGAGTCCCTTGGGAGGCAGTCCTGAAAGGCAAAGAAGTCCAGGAAGGCTGGACATTCTTCAGTAAGGACATCCTAAAGGTGCAGGAGCAGGCCCTTCCTATGTCCTGAAGGATGAGCCAGTGGGAAAGACCATCAGCCTAGATGAACAGAAAGCTTCAGTTGGAACTGAGCTAAAAAAAGAGAGTTTCTGACCTTTGGAATTAGGGGCAGGCAACTCAGGAGGACTAAAAAAGATGTTGTGAGGTTATGCAGAGAGAAAATTAGAAGGGCCAAAGCACAACTAGAAGTTAAACTGGCTACTGCTGTAGAAGACAAAAATGTTTCTATAAATACATTATCAACAAAAGGCAGGCTAAGGAGAATCTCCATCCTTTATTGGATGCAGGGAGAAGCACAGTGGCAAAGGATGATGTACTTAATGCCTTCTTTGCCTCAGTCTAAATAGTAAGACCAGCTGTTCTCTGGGTACCCAGCCCACTGAGCTGGAAGGCAGAGATCAGGAATAGAATGAAGACCCCATGATCCAAGGGGAAATGGTTAGCAACCTGCTACACCACTCCAATACACACAAGTCTATGGGGCCAGATGGGATCCACCCAAGGGTACTAAGGGAGCTGGTAGAAGTGCTCACCGAGACACTTTTCATCATTTATCAGCAGTCCTGGACAACTGGGGAGGTCCCAGTTGACTGGAGGTTAGCAAATGTGACACCAACCTACAAGATAGACTGGAAGGAGGATCAGAGGAACTACAGGGAAGGCTATGAAAGGGTTCCTTTTGAGTGCCATGACACAGCACGTACAGGACAGCCAGGTGATCAGGCCCAGTCAGGGTTTATGAAAGGCAGGTCCTGCTTGACTAACCCGATCTCCTGTAACAAGATACACATTTAGTGGAAGAGGAAAAGGCTGTGGATGTTGTTTACCGAGACTTTAGTAAAGCCTTTGACACCATTTCCCACAGCATTCTCTTGCGAGAAACTGGCTGCTCATGGCTTGGACAGTCATACTCTGCGCTGGGTTAAAAACTGGCTGGATGGCTGAGCTCAAAGAGTGGTGGTGAATGGAGTTAAACCCAGCTAACAGCTGGTCACAAGTGGGGTTACCCAGGGCTCGATACTGGGGCCAGTTCTGTTTAATATCATAGAATCAGATTTGGGTTGAAAGAGACCTTAAAGATCATCTAGTTCCAACCCCCTGCCACGGGCAGGGACCCCTTCCACTAGCCCAGGTTGCTCAAAAGCCCCATCCAACCTGGCCTTGAACACTGCCAGGGAGGGGGCAGCCACAAGTTCTCAGGGCAACCTGTTCCAGTGTCTCACCACCCTCACAGTAAAGAATGTCTTCCCTATATCTAATCTGAATCCACCCTCCTTCAGTTTAGAACCATTTACTCCTTGTCCTATCCCTACATCCCCTGATAAAGAGTCCCTTCCCATCTTTCCTATAGTCCCCTTTAAGTACTGGAAGGCCACTCTAAGGTCTCCCTGGAGCCTTCTCTTCTCCAGGCTGAACAACCTGTGTGTGGCAGACGCATCGCCCAATGAAAGCAGAGCTTCTTGGTGACTGAAGTGTAGCAGCTCCTGGCTGCCTTTGTTCTCACAGCCTCAGGGTAGTTTGGGCTTTGGCCAAAGGGAGCCGCTATTGACTACAGGTCAGATTCGTCCCGGGTATCAATGGAGTCCCCTGGGGGAGCCTTTGGGAGCTCATCCCCTGGAGCAGCAGCTGTGGTCAAGGACTCTCCCCTTGGGTCAGGACGCTGCCCAAGGAAACTCCTCGAGGGACCGTGGGTCAGGACGCTGCCCTGAGCAGGTCCTCAAGGTTGAGAGCCCTCACTTGTCAGGTAAGTGATAAAGCATTTTGG